GTCGTTACTGCTTAGATCTCCAGTTCTGACTTGGACTCCTCAACGGGATTGTTTAATAAGTACAGCAGTACCCCATCACTAGCGATCTCTTGCTATAAGGAGCATTTTGTAAGTGGTAATTCATTTTAGCTTCACAACTACACAACAAGGAACTTGCTTTTTGTTTGCTCATTTTTATAAATGAGGACACAGAGACACCCCATGGCAAAATTAGTTGCTTATAGACACAGAGCAAATAACAGGCAGAACTAGTGGTTAAGCCCAGGAAGACTGACTCCTGGGCAATACATTGATTCACTGTCAAAGAGAACCTGAGCCAAAACTATTCACCTAATATGCTTTGTAAGATTCAAAGGTACCAAATTTTCAGAGCACCAAAAATATTGTGTATAATCTTGTGAAAAAGAGACTCTATAAATGTGACTTGCATAAAAATATTTGTCCTGTTTGCCTACATTGGCCATTGACTTCAGTTTTTCCCCAAAGATAAAACAAGGAGCAATCTTCCTTATCCTCATCTTAAAAGTAAGAAAAACTTTTTTAAAAATTGGATATAGGATCTCACTACTCAGTTCAGACTCATAGTGATCCTCCTGCCTCAACCTCCCCAGTTCTGGGATTACAGACATGAGCCACCACGCCTGGTTCTGGGGCTGGCACAGCATGCAGTACCAGGTATTGAACTTGGGGCCTTGCACTTGGTAGGCAGGCCCTACCAAGGGCCTTGCACTTGGTAGGCAGACCACTGAGCTATCGCCCCAGCCCCAAGAAAAACTTCTTTACCATCATTCACAGCTATCTAAATACCTACTGCTAAGAATTTTACATTTGAGGTGAATCCTGAGGAATAAATATTGGCTCTGTCCAAAGGAACAAGGGAAGCAAGGATGATGATAATGAACAAGGAACTAGCTACGGTATGAAGTAGGAGTCATTCATCACCCATCTCTTCATCCATGAAATATTTGTTGAGTCCCTGCTGTGGGCAGATGTGAAAATACTTTTGGTAGAGTAAGGAACCAAGCAGTTTTTTTTTGAAATGCAGCTGGCAGTGGGTTTCGTTGAGCCTTAAATGGCAAAAGATAAGCTACCAGGAAGCATGTGGAAAGGAAGGTGGGCATTCCATCTGGAGGAGGAGAGCAGAGGAGAACAGGTGAAGCTTGCATGTACAACCCAAGCCCTTCCCACGCTCAGTTGCACAAGAGGAAGGTGGAAACGCAGGGTAGAAGAGCAGTGACGACACTCTACAGTAAACAACAGAACACAGTGTGCATCTTATCTCTTCCAGTGGAGACCTTTTGAACTACACCCAAAATGCCCTGCTCAGAACTTCACACAGGCCTCCTCCTTTCACAAGATCCTACTGTTCTCTAGATTTAAGAGCTTTGATGACATTGGGACTTTGATTGCAGGGACAACAGGCTCAGCTTTGTCAAGCCAACTGGTTCTTGAAACCTGATTATAGTTGTGACACAATCTGGGTATCTAGTGATTCAATAATCCAGTTAACCACACTTGTAAAAGTCTAGGCCACTATAATGTGGCCTCTGTGGGGTTTTGTTTTTTTTCCCTTGCCCCAGTCAGTACTCAGGGTTGAACCCAGGACCTTCACACTAAGCTGCATTTTCAGCCAGTTTTTAGTTTTGGTTTGAAACAGTCTCACTAAACTGCCCAGGTAGGGCTTCAACTTTCCTTCTTCCTGCCTCAATCTCCAAGAGTGCTGGGATTACAGACACATACCTCTACATATGACCCATGCTTTCATTTTTGAGAGGCAAATATGCACAATCACTATCCTAGCTCCATCCTCTCATGCCCCACCCAGCAAAGGAAACTTCCTCAGTGAGTCAGCCTTTGTGGTGAACGACATCGAAGGCAACTTTTAAACTCAAAAGTATGGCATTTGCAAGAGTAGAATGTGTCATTACAACTTCACAATAGCATTGCACAATAGCACTGGATGTGTGCCTCAAAGGTGTCAGAATTACACTTTTAATTTCCATATCTCTGAGTCTTCTTACAATCAGCAAGGGTGGGTTCATTTGGGGGAAGGTTTTTTTTATTTTTTTAATCTGGTACTAGTTTGCTCATCTGAGAAAAAAAAATAGGAAGCCTAAGTCATTCTTCTCTACCTCTAGAAAGGGTCAGGGGAATTAAAATAAGGCAAGTATAAGTATAATAATAAGCATCATTATTAAAAATCCTTTGCAGATGTTAGCATGTGGCTTGCTGAAGCAGTAAAATCTCAATGCTTACAAAACATAAATCACCATCACTAGTGTATGGGTTTGGAAACCCCACACACTGGCCTTACTGTATAATTCAGAGAAATGGCAGAAACTGTCCATGCTAATGTGGGTCCACAATTGTTGCTGAATGATGTCATTCCTTCCTTTCCTCTGTCTAGCTTCTACGGCTCTAGGTCAGTGAGTTTGGTCCTTTCAGGGTAAACCAAGGACTGACTGATTTTTATCCTGCTCAAGAACTGCAGCACGTGGACTCTGGCTTCCAGTGAGCCCACCAGAATTTTCTCTTCATGGAACTCACCATGAACATGATGGCTTTGGACATGAGGCCCCTACCTTGGAAGATTCTGTGATTCTTCATAATTTCATCAGAAAAATCCATGAAATACATCTCAGCCACTTGGGTTAGCTTGAATTAGTGGATGGCATTGGGACCACATTCATCATACGTCACTTCTGTATAAAACAAAATTTGTAAATCCTAAATCCCAGGAGGAAAAGTGTCCCTCAAACAAGGAGTACCTACATTCAGCCTCTATCTATCTATCTATCTATCTATCTATCTATCTATCTATCTATGCAGTGGCTGACCACCTGCAATTAATTATTTAGAAAGAGAGACTAGTTCCTCCAATCACATTGCTTTCTTGAACGTTTTAGACCCTCAGCCTAAAGCAAAGGGAAAACACGGTATCCGCAGAGGTAAAGGTTGATGAAGAACATTTCGAACCAAGGAAGCTGCTTTCTGTTTCTTTGGCTGCCATCTAGGGGCTGATAATGAAATATCTCTGAACTGCTTGAATATTATAGAGAGAGGTCTGTCTTTGAAACAAAAAATCGACAGGCTACCAAACTGTTCTTGCAGACAGGAGACAATTATTCTTTCTAATAATTCCCATGTATATCTAAAAGTGGCATTCTCTTTTCTCTCTGCTGTTCTATGTTCTTTTCCCATGAAAAGAGAATTGATTTGATCATCTAATATTAACACAGGAAAGTTTCTGACATTGCCTGGGGGAGAAATGTGAAAGCCAGTGATTAGCTATGGGATGAGTACTTAGAATAGATGAGCCACAAGCAACACCGAAAGAAAGCCCTTAACGCTGAATTATGTTTCCACACAGACAAAAGGGATAAGGCATATAGGAGAGCCCAAGACTGCATATTAGAGAACATTGAGAAACTGGGTCAGAGGGAGGAACAGAAGCTAGGGGCAGGTGCCTTTTGAGATCATGTTAGGTAAACCACTATTGAAGCAATGAATGTAGAGACCTCAGTGGCATCCAATAGTTACTATTCACACCTCACTTTAGATAGAAGGTTAGCTGGCTTGAGTGTGCTCTAGCTGTCTCTCATACCCTCAGGGGCTATGCAAAGAGCAGCAGACCAGCCTAGACGTGCATTTTTCATATCACTAGCACATCTCAATTCCTCCTGACACTCCCTTCTTTCTCTCCACCCTCCACCTCCATCTCTGAATCCCCTCCCTATTTGAGAAACATCTATCTCCCTACTTCCTATTGTCTTTTATTTTGTTCTTTGTTTATGCTTCAGCTTTCTCATATAAGAGAAACCATACAACGTTTAAGCTTGTGGGTCTGGTATATATTTCATTAACATTATGGCCTTTTTCCTACAAATAACTCACATTTATGGTTCCTTATGATACAGTAGTACTACACTGTGTGTAAAATTTTGCTCAGCCATTCATCCTTTGACAGATATAGAGGCTGCATCCAAGATTTACTTGTGAATTGTGCCTCAATAAACGTGGGCATGCATGCATCATGAAATGGAATATGATGCATTTAACTCTTTTGGGGAAGACACCTTAAAGAGGAATAGCTGGGTCAAATGGAATTTCTACTTTTAGTTTTCTGAGGAATCTCCATTCTGACTTCAATAGTGGTTGTACTAGTCTACGTTTTCGTCAGCATTAAAAGCTAACAAGGATGTTCCGCTGACACGCATCTTTCCTTGTTTTGCATCATCGTGGAGTTTGAGAAGTCACCATGGCTTACACTAAAGGGAAGTCGTTACGAATGTGGGTCACAGAACGAATCCTGTCATTTATGATCATAGGCCTGTGTGTCCATTTTCTGAACCATAAATGGAGATGTCTTCTCCAGGGGGTTCCTGTGAGCATTAAGTGAACTTTGTGACTGGGACACAAAACAAGGCTCAGTAGCTGTGAGATGTTATTAAGTGTCCAGAGTTCTCCCAGTATTTTATATGAGTGGACTAATTGCTCCAATGTTTGAGCATTGAAGAATGTCAAAAGTCAAGGCCAAAACATGGAAAGTGAGATCCCTGTAAACGGTGCTGCTGCTCCATGAAAACTTTTTTTTTTCCTCCATGAACACTTGATGAACTCTAAAGCACTTATGCCCACACCACTCATTAGTGGTACCTAAATGAACTCTCAGAGTTCATTTTAACATTAGAAGAAAGCTTTAGCCTAAGAGATGCATTTAATGTAGAATTTTAAGCTCCCTAAAGCAGGAGAGGAAGGCCTTGTAAGATGCTAGAAAACTATGTACTTCCCGTGGGGTTGATCCTGCCTACTTGTACAAACCTGCCAGAGTTATGTTTTATAAGGAAGTAAACCTCTTCCTCCACAAGATGTTCTCTGGTTCTAACCTGTCTTTCTAAAAGTGTGATTCTAAGTATGAACCTAAAAAATAAGATGATTCTTTATGGGGGAGGAAAGAAAACCCTCTCCTGACTCAATTTCTTTTCTGGTGTTATTTAAAGATATGAAATGCCTGGAGAAGCTACTGAGAGAGGGTATCATCTATGGCCAGCCTCAAACCGGCAGAGCTTGGAAAAAAATTCTCATCCTGGTGGAAGGTGTCTACAGGTAGGGAACCAACTGGAAGCTTATGAACACTCTTGGTCCACCACAAGCTGACCAGGAGAAAGGCTGGTCTTTCCCAGCTAAATGAGGAAATGAGTTTGCCATGGAAATTATGGAGGAACTTAAGCCCACTACTAAGGGGAGTTGTCCGGTCCACTTTTGTGATGACTCTATCCATATAGCAATAGACCTTAAAGGTGGGCATGTTTTAAAGCCTTCCTTGTAAATGTTCTCAGAAGGTGTTGCTAACTTGTGTTGTTTCTTCACAGTATCTTTGGCTGTCTCTGCGTTTCAAAGACCTCTTATGGATGGGTTATCCAAATCAGAATATTTCTTGCCTTCGTATCTATACTAGATATTCTCATGGGCAGCCCTGATTCCCTACCTGGGTGCCTTCATGGGAAATGTAGCCAGCTACCAACTGTTTCACCAACTTGGCCGATGGTTGCCATCAAAAAGCCAAAAGCCTAAGCCCAGTGTGGTGATTCATGTCTGTAATCCCAGCACTCAGAAGGCTGAGGTGGGAGGATTGTTGCAAGTTTGCAGCCTGGGCAACAAAGTGAGCTCAAGGCCAGCCTGAACTGCATAGCAAGACCCTGTCTCAAAAAGAAATTTAAAAAAAAAAAGAAAGAAAGTACATCTGTCCTTTCTCCAAAGCAGGAACTGGGGAGAAGAATGATCTTAGCAACTGAAGACATATTAAAGATCCAGTTTACATATGTTTTTTGAGCTAAGGAGATAAAATACCCCCTATGCCATTTTGAGTTTCACTTTTACATTGCACGGTGAATTGAATTTGCTTTGTGCTCTGTCTGAGCTGATTATCAGTACTCAAATGAAAATTAAATTCAAGTTCTTCCTCTGCTGAGTGCCTTGGTCCATAAATGAAAGAAACAGGATCTGAATGCCCACTCCTAAATCATTACTCAAACAATCAGTGTTAAAGGAAACAAGGGAGACATTCCCTATGACATAATTATAGAAAAGTGAAAGATATTAAAAAGGAAAGAAGGGAAGGCTTTCACACTGGAGGAGTTTGGCTGAAAAAGAAACTTGAGAGCAGAAGTAGCCTTTTTTTTCCACCAGTACCAGAAGCAGTGCCTAAGGTCTTGAGTTACTGCGGCATGAATAACAAGTAGCAGAATAAATGCACCTCCAAATGGAAGAATGAATTCTTCCTAGTTTAAAATATGACTGTAATCATAATTAGTATCATTTTTATTTTAACCCTACTACTAACCAACCACCCAATAGCTGGATATCTCCAACACTGCAAACAGAACATCTCAAATTTCTAGTAACCTGATTTCTGTATCATATCACACTATTTCATTATGTCACCCCCAACAATATGCACTGTGTGTGAAGTCTTTGGGATCACCCCATGTCAGTCATCCTCAGCTGGGGTGTCTCTCCACACCATCCCAACCTGGATCCTTTTGGTCATTTTTAATTGCACAACTGCGGTGGGGCTCTATTGCCATCTGGTGGGAAGAGGCTAGGAACACTGTTAAGTACCCTGCAATGTGCAAGACAGCCCCTCCCAGTGAAGAAACATCTAGCTCCGCAAGGTAACAGTGCCAACACTGAGCAAGCCTGCTCACTGGCTCTAAACTCTTAGGAAGCTGCTTTCAGGAAGCAATCTCATATTAAGCCTGTGCTAATAGATAGGTCTTTCCCCCTCTGTGATTTGTGACTGCTCCCAGCCTGTGACATGCCCAATTAACCAAAGCACATCACGAGTCAGCCCACATTCCAAAGGAAGTAGAAGGGTCAGCTTATATATGTGAGGTATAATAGAAATATATAGTGAATGTTTAAAGTTTTAAAAAATTATTGCACTAAAAAATATTTTAAAACTGAGGGCTGGTGAAATAGCTCAGCAGACTAAGCACCTGCTTACACAAGTGCAGAGACTAAAGCTTGATCCCCCACACCACATGCCACATCAGCCCCACCCCTTGGCACACTGAGCCGGCCACTGAGTCTGGGCGTGGTGGCACATGTCTGTAATCCCACCGCTGGGGAAACTGAAAGCAGGAGGATCACTATGAGTCTGAGATGCATAGTGAGACACTGTACCAAATACATTTTTTAACAAATTTCCACTAATCTCAGTTGCTTTGAACACACTTATCTTATTATTCCTGCCACTTTTGGAAGCAGTTCTAGAAGTCTTTTCGCATGAGTGTCTCCAGGAGATATGATCAAAAATAAAGTGAATGCTGCTGTCCATTGCCACTCAATGGAAAAACAAGCTTGTAAAACCATTACAGTGTGTCCTCATCCACCTTTTTCACCAAATCTCACACCAGAGAATTTGTGGATCCTCCCCAAAGTCAAAATGACTGTGAAAGGTAAATAGTTTGAATCAGCTCAGGACATCAAGGCAGCCATGACAACACAGCTAAGGACACTTAGGATAGAAGACTTCCAGAGCTGCTTCAGGAAGTGACAAGAATGATGGGACCAGTGTGTTCCAAGTAAGGCAGAGTATTTTAAAGGGGATGAAAGGCAATATGTCTTCTTCTGTAATAATTTTTAATGTAAACATTCTCTGTAATTTTCATAGGGTTAGGCTAAGAGTTCATGAACAAAAATCAAATTGTATGTGTAATACTAGAAAGAATTAACAGATGCGACCTCCTCTTATTGAGAAGTTTTTGCACATCAAAAGAAATTACCAACAGAGTGAAAAGACAACCCATAAATTGGGGAAAAACCTTTATTAATAAGCACTTAGACAAAGGTCTGCTCTCTAGAATTTATAAAGAACTAAAAAAATATTAGGGCCCCAAAATTTAAAGACCCAATCCAGAAATGAGCATCTGAGGTGAACACACACTTACCAGAGGACAAAATTATAGAAGCAAATAAATATATGAAAAAATGCTTCGCATCACTAGCCATCCATGAAATGCAAATGAAAACAACACTGAGATACCATCTCACCCAAGAGAGAATGGCTATCATAAGGAAACCAACCAATAACAAATGTTGGGGAGGCTGTGGGGAAAAAGGAACCCTTCTTCATTTACACCATAAGCGGGGCTGGGAAGAGTGGCAGGTAACCATCTATAGGTGAACTCTATCACAACAGCTTAATCGCCCAAGTATTTAGACAAAGTCTTATCTTCCCTACACTTCCCTTGGCAGAAAGATTACTTTCATCCCATCTACTGAGGAACTGTGGCTCTAAGTGACCTGACAGATTGTTGACAGGGAGAAATCAGGGCATCTTATCATCAGCCTTAGTGGACCTGCAGTTTTCTCATCTATAAAATCAAGCCAGCTTCAGTGGAGTTCCTGAATGATAAACCTCAGCGGGAAAGACCTCATAGGAGTGTTCTAATTTACAGCTTTACCGAAAGATACAATTCCAAAGGGCCAAGGTTAAGAACGTGAAATCAATAGTTCACAAACACATTTCTGTATGTAGGAACATACACTTGGTTGAAAATTGCCCAGAGCTTCCTTTGAATTTTTACCACTACATGTTTTTCTCTTGTTTGTGGTCTGCCAACATGGGCAAAATACCATCTCTACCAAAAGTTCACACACAACAGTTTTCTCATAAATCCGAAGCAGACATAACAGCCAAATCAGAAATTTTCAAGCTATTTTTAGGATAGGAAAGGCAAGACTAAGCAGTCATAAAACTGCACAAAAGTAACAGCAATAAGAACAATAATGCCACCATCCACAGGTTCTATTATTGTTATGTATAATATAGGGGAATCAAGATTTGGAGGCAGGTCTCAGACTGGGATCAAAGCCCTGTGACTTGTCTACAGCTGTTTATCCTCCATGGGGCTCTTTGATAAATATTAAATAAGGTCATATGAGTACCATTTGACAGAGGCCTGACCTACAGAAAACAAGAAAGGGTGGGTTGTCTTCATCCTGAGATTTGCTCATTGTCACTTGAGAAAACTGAAGGTTAGAAACCAAGATGCTACTTAAGTAACAGAGTTGATCTACCCAGAGGGCAAATGGCACTGGAAAAAATCACCCGTGTATGTGCATTTCACATGTGCAATCTTGAATAAGCCTCCCAGTAGCCCTCAAATTATTGCAACAGGGAGGAAACTAAGGCTTAGAGGCCTGAAAAGCTCACCCTTACCACAGGACAGATCAATGACGTAACCCAGGACTGGGATTAAAAACAGGTGGCCAAGGTAGGACAAAGGCTCAGGGTAAACAGAAGAGTCAGCCCACCTGTCCACGTGCAGGGACCTAAATACAAAAAAATGTAAACCCACGCATTTGATCTTTGTAATTATCCTACTTACACATCAATTTCCTCCGTGAGATAGAGGGTCGGAAAATCAGTCTAAACTTCAGTGAATTCACGACTTAAGGATTAAAATCACAATAACATTACTTCAAATTTTCTGACACATGTTTACTTAGTAATATTTTGGCTTTCTCTCTGTGTTTTGTATTGGTTTTGGTCATGGCTTTTTTATGTACAGGGATTGAAGCTTGGGCCTTTGCACTGAGCTATATCCCCAGCCCTTTTTTATTTTTTATTTGGAGGCATGATCTCTGTAAGTTGCTAAATTGCCAAGACTGGACTCAAACTTTCCATTTCTCTATCTCAGCCTCTCAGATTGCTGGAAATACAGGTGTGTACTGCCATGCCCCTAGCTATACCCGTCTGAGAATGTTTGAAGGTTTATGTATCTCAGAATTTTAGATTTCTTATCAATTCTCAATGCCTGAAAAATAAAGAGAGAAGGGTGTCCCAAACAACCTGGGTCAAAAATTATCATGGGTGGAAGGCAGCTTTGAGAATATAAAGCATCTAAAAGTAATACCCAGCCCTTCCAAAACAGGATGCTAAGGTCTCAGGATGCCATATAATCTAAGAATGGAATAAGAGTAGGCCATTCTCCTCTCCAAAACAGTGTAAACCAGGGCCAGGAGATGGCTCAGTGGAATAAGC